AATCGGAAGTGGCTGGACATCAAATGGAGTGGTCTAAATCCCGACATTTTACCGGATGTGGGAATTTCACAGCTAAGCGGAAGATGAGGAAGTAGATTAAAATTGACAAAACAAAGAATATCCTGAATAAGAGGAATTAATGTATGAAACTAAGAACTATATCTGGCTGCTAAATAGAATGCGAGAGAGAAAAAAGTAAAGAGAACATGAAGAGCCACTGAGTAAGAGGAGAATACCTGACTAAGTTGGAGTCTGTTTTTGAACCTAAAATTGCCCATTAACTCGTGAGTGTTGCATACAAACCCGAGCACGCATCATCGAGGCTATAACAAGCTCCAAGATTAAAGGATCATACTCTAGTTTATTTACATATACAAAAGTTGTGACCACATCCGCTCTCCTTCCTGCATCACTTTGACTCACTTGCATGCATGTAGGACAAGCATACGTCAGCCAACCAAATCATGGAATGCCTCATTGAGATCACCAAGTAAAGTATGAGAAGTAAGTAGAATCTCAGCTGGCCACCTTTCTTGGTTTTGTGTTTTTGCCGATTGTTCGTGAATAATGGTTTCTGGCTCTGACGGCGTGAACGTCGTCATGACGAAAAGTAGCTCAGCACGGGGTCATCGGGGCCGTAGCACGGTGAGCCGAGGTCTTCTTCGCACAATTCAACCGATACAAGTCAAAAGGCAACCTTCCTTTGGTATACGGTGAGGCTAATCTACGAGTCCCTTCTACCCGCATTCTCAAACAAAATGAATGTTATGCCAGTAATTCCATCTCCTTTTTGAATTAAGCATGTGCTCGCTCGCAATATTGCATCTCCAATAAACATTACTAGTTGTGAGTATTTTAAGAATATCAGTATCGTAAGAAGCTCATACGGTCTCCTTGCTTATTTATTTGTAGTCTATTTATCAGTCCCATTGACTAAATATAAGCTTTCTTGTTAACCTAGATTAACATTTAATTTTTATGCTAGCTATTCATTCTAAATTCATTTTCAATTTCTATTCTGCACAAACAATAGGCTAATTTAGCCGTTCAAGAGAACCGTTTGAACCTCGCTATGAAGGAATTGGATACGGCACAGGCCCAATTAGATGAAAAACAGCGAGAGTTGGATCTCGTTCAGGCAGAGTACGATAGAGCAATGGCAGAGAAACAGACTCTAACGGATAATGCAGAGGCCTGTAGGCGCAAAATGTCAAATGCAACAGCCCTCATCCAGGGTCTGGCAGGTGAGAATGTAGTAGGAGCTATCGCAATAAGCAACATTAAATATAGGTACGGAAGAGGAAGGCACATATCCTTGGCCTTGTCGTATACTGTTTTTTCCTGCTTCAATCTTTTATTTCAATTATCTTAATGAGTCTAGGTATTGATAAATAATTATGTACTGCTATCACCTGTTTATTAACTAATTTTTTTGTAAACTATTACACATTAGATTCAAAAAACATTGATTAAATATATGGGTTATCTGAACCCACACTGACAGAAATACTAATACATTAGAGGGTCCAACTTAATAATCTATAATTCTTCTTACCGAGCTTAGCAACGAGAGTCGAACTCGTCATACCAGTTTAAAATCAGATTTAATATGACTTTCTCTTTTTATTGGAATATTTTTTCAAGTTATTCTTGACTTGAGCTTAAATTTAATCATATCCTGAAATAATGGGAAAACATATACTGCCTACTGCACAGTTGCATCTGAAGATCATTTGAAGCATCGTAATTACATAATATGGGGAAACAATAGAATAAAGTGTCTTTTTTAGTGCAAAGAGCGTAAATTGTAAAGCATATTCGATCTAAAACACCCTTTTTATTTGTATTAACAGGAGAACGAATTCGCTGGACAGAGGCCAGTCGAATGTTTTCCGATCAGATTAATCGACTGGTTGGTGATGTTTTGCTAGCAACTGCGTTCCTCTCCTACTCCGGACCCTTCAATCAAGATTTCAGGAATCTTCTCAACCGGAACTGGCGAAAAGAATTAGTCCAAAATAAAATACCTTTTTCTGATGTGAGCGTCTTCTAAACCTTCCGTGCTTAATAGACTTTAGTAAGAACTATAAAAACCAAAAACACGATTTTGAAACATTTTCTCCACTTTTTCTTGCTTTCGCATTGGCTTCCTTGATAATGCCTCTCAAGCGTAGTATACCTCAAATCCCTCATTAACCCTTTACAATCGTCTTATTCTTGACATGTCTACAATCCATTTTTAGGATTTGAATATAATTACGATGCTTGTGGACAATGCCACCATGGGTGAATGGAATCTACAGGGCCTCCCCAACGATGAACTGTCAATCCAGAATGGCCTGATTTCCACACGCGCCACGAGATACCCTCTACTGGTGGACCCGCAGGGACAAGGAAAAGCTTGGTTAAAAAAGAAAGAAGCAAACAATGATCTTCAGGTAGTTCCCTTATTTGGCCCTATTCCCACTAGGTTGAACAAGTCTCCCTATTAATAGCTAGCATTGGACGTACTTGTGTTGCAATGAATAAAAGAATGGATAAGTGCAGCTTTTATGTAAATTCAATGAAAATTTTTATCCATTTATGCTTTCGCCATTTATGCTTTTTATATCAAATGGTTGGCTTCATTAAGATATGAGGATAGATCTAACGCTTTCCTACATTTTTGTTTACGTTTAACACCTAATCTCGATTCCCACCTAGAGATGACATTATCCTCATTAATTACACTAAAATCT